AAAGGGCATAACTGACATTTTTGGCAAAATTGAGTTATATAGCCTAGTGGGGGTCAGTACATCGCGTTACACACTTTTGACACAAAAAAACTTGTTAAAAAGTGTTCCCCGGGCTAGATATGGGCATGGCAAGATAACTACAAAATATTCAGTAAATTCCCAAGGCAAAAGGGCATACTGTAACTGCAAAGATAGGCTGTGATACGCTGAACCGTGATGATATTATTTCAACAGCCAAACAATCACAAGAGACCTTTCTCCCTGGTTAAAATAAAGGTTGCTTGTTAAGTATTATTATTTTTAATTATTCTTACTGCTTGTGTACTCATAGTTTGTAAATTGAATTTATTTAAATAGTATGATTCTTGACAGTAGCACATGTCTAGTTAATGCTCGGCAAACATGACAAGTCTAGTTAATTTATGCTACATAATCTTGCCTCACTTTGAATGAGAGAGCAGCTTAGCTCAGTCAGGAGAGAGCAGCTTAGCTCAGTCGGCTAATCTGGTAGTAGCCACTGTGTGTGTGCTGAACCGTGGAGATCTCTAGGTCCCTGGTTCAATTCCCATCGCTGCCTCTCCTTGTGTTTCAGCTAGAGGGCTGAAATACAAGTTATAATAGCGCACCGTCTTTCGGATGAGACGTTTAAGCTGTTGGTTCCATTTGGTGCATTTATGGCCCATGTGCACATTAAAGAACGCAGTACACTCTTCGGAAAAGAGTAGGGGATTGTCTCCCGGTGTACTGTCCAATCACCACCAGAAGGACCCCACAGGAAATAAGTCTTCTTCTAGACTTTTGTGGGCTATCTTTGGTGTTTACACCGAATAAATCCAATCCAATCCAATGGCATACAGTTAAATACATGGAAATAAATCTATCTGAAAAGAATAACTGTTTTAGTGCAGGGGCTTATGTATTTTTGTTCGCAATTCATGTTAATTTATGGCAACAACACTTTTCTGACTCAGAATTTTATACTGAACAAGAAACATGTTGGTGCCAATTTTTTCGTGAAGGTTAACTGCCCGCCATCTTGGAAAACAAGATGGCGGGCACATATCATTATGTTGTATCATTGGAAAGGAAATAATGCACTGAATATTTTTTCCCATTACACTAATATAAAAAATGAATAGTAACGAAGATATTCGCCATTAAACATGTCATTGTCTGCTGCCCTCTATTGGTGAAAATTTCATCTTCGTAATTCTTTGTACAAATTTAGCTGGTTTTAGGTGAATTTCTCAGTTCTAATACCGATACTTTGTAGATTCTTGTTTGTAACTGGACTGATACACTGATAACAAAACATTTCTATTCATGTTTATTAGTTTTTTTCATTAAATAATGAAAAATCATCATTTTTGTTGTGTAGAACTGTATTGACTATAGCTTTATTTCTTATTATTTCAATGGAACCATTCTGGAAACAAGCAGAAATGCTTTAAGGGTTATCCTGAAATTCTCTAATTGTTGTGTTTATCTGTGAGAATTTCGAAACAAAAAATAATGTCAGATAGTAGATAATTGATTCACATAATAATAGGCACTTCTCATACAAAATTAAAAGTCGGTAAATAATTCTCTGTCCAAGATCATTCTGAGTCGAGGCTAAAACAATATTACATAATTGACAGTAAAGAAAAAAACGTGAACTGAAACATGACTGCCTAGTTTTGAGAGCTATTGTAGGCCTAATATCAAATTGTTAGAAACTAACTCAGATGAATACAAATAGAGTGATCTAATACTATTTTATGAAAAACCTAGTGTCCAGCACCTCTCAGTTTCCTCTATGCTAGGCGGTTTTAAGCAACAAGGAAGTATTATCAATTGTAAGTTATATACCCAATACAGAGGCATTGACACTGCAGGGTTCCCAAGTCTCCCGGAACTCAAAAAGAGTCTCCAGGAAACTCCTGCAAGCAAGCAATAATCTCCTGGAAATAAACTCATCTCCGCAAATTCATAATTTTGCATGTTTTCACTGCTTTATTATCAATTTTCTAAGGAAGTCATCAAAACAAACCACAATCATACATATTTTCCTCAGCTCTAACCATGATGGGGCTGATGTGGTTCACACCCTCCATCTGTGAAAGTCCCTCCCAACCCCCCACCCTTCGACACTGCAGATCTCACAGAAATTACTTCTTCCAACTTGGAACCCCTGTATTTTTGAAGGCAGATTTTTTTTTCGGATTCGGCCAATGGTTTTTCAAGCACAGAGAAAGTTGTAACAGCTAGTTTTTCCAAACGATATTGTTCCAGCAAAATTGTGCCTATCATGTGCCTACCACCAGTTTAGCCCAATGAGCTAAGCTGACTCTCATTTTCCTTATATTTCAATACCATTTGTACTGTACGGTACTTGTAAGTCTAATTACAAAATGAAAAAAAAAATGTAAAAAAATCAAAAGTCAGGCACATTTCATATTCATTTCAATTGAAGCACTTACCTTGTGTTGCAGGTAGAATTGTGCTAATGTTAATAACGGAGTCAGTAAAATTACAGTTAACAAATTGACAACCGCTTGTAGAACCTAAGCAGAAATACATAAAATATCCGGATTAACACAATCTACAATTTATTTTTTCTGTAATAACAAAAACAATCTACATTTAGAGGCTTAAGAATCAAGGAGGGAAATCAGTATGCAGGGGTCCAGAAGAACTCCATTGGTGAATGGAGGAGAGGCCCAATAAAGTGGAGCAAGCTTTCCAATTTCAATAATCACAATAATTGATATCTCAGGGGGTACTGCCAAACAGTAGCGACCTGGACGTTTTCTCAAAGGATAGCTTAGTACACTTGAAAACATGTAGAGACATTATTGTCAAGTCATTAGTTGTGATCCTTCTATAATTCCCAAAGGTTACAGGTAGGTGAGATAATTTTGGCATTCTATTGTAATGGAATTGTTACCTGTAGATGTACTTGGACCAGCTCCTGTGTCACCAGACAATGTAACCCTAGTGTCTGTGTCACCAGTCAACATTAGCTCTCTTTGATCATCTGCTATAAATTGGTATTTAAAGTATATTATGTTCTGTCAATTTCTAAGCAGCAATGTAGTTTTGGTGGGTGGGGAGCAGCCAGTATTGAATTTTTCCATCCAGTTCTAATTTCATAGCCCTCTAACTACCTTTATTAACCACATCCACTCTTATTACTTACTATTTGAATACAGTTTCGATGACATTTACGTACACAAATTGTATAAGCTAAACATTTCTTTTGATTTTCTTGTTTAATACATTTGTAGTTGACTTGTAGTATGCATGTTTGTAGAAAGTGTGAGAGTGCGTTGCAGGTTGTTTAAACCTGAATGATGATCAAAAAGACGGAAATTACAATGTTAAAGCAATAATTATTAAGATTAAAGGCACCTTCAGACGATTCAGAAGTTAGCCTTGAATTAGCAGTTTACTTTTCGTAAGCCCTGGGTAGTGTCCGTGAAGACGATCTTTGTATTAAAAGAGAACTAGCAAAATGATTTTTTGTTCTAGAGTGGATTTTTGATATGACATTAATAATTGAATCAAACTTAATATCGTTTTTTGGCTATTTTTAAAAATAAAAAGTAATAAAAGATCGTGTAAATAGCGCTGTGTAGAGTGTCCGCCGCGTAGGGTATCCACCGCGTATGATCTTTGCGTGCATGCAGTAACCATGGCTGTAACTCGTTTGTTGACAACCGCTAAATGCATATCAAATCATAGGCATATGCATAATCTGGACATCATTGGCCTCAGAGAAGCTTGCAATGGCCAAACACAGGGTTAGTACGTTTTTAAACAAAAAAATTTCCTGGACATTACAGGTCAATTTTTTCCAAATTTCAAGGATTATATAGCTTTACAGTAAAATATCAGCAATTTTACGATTGGTTGTAAAACATGTTTGCTGTACTAATTTTAAATGCATGTTAGTTAAGTGTACATAGTTGTATCTCATTCTAATTCGAAGGCGACTGATCTGTCTCTTTGTTCTCACGCTCGTTGGAAATTCTGTTTTTCTCAGATGTGTAAAAATTTGTTGGGCAAAGGAGTTCCCATGAGCATGGGAAAGTACTGGTAAAGTAAGCAGGGCTGAACTGGAGTAGAATACTCTCATCAGCACACAAATGTTCGCGTACAACAATGGTTTAATCTTATCACATAAACCTGTCAGTGCACTTTGTGGAACCGATGCGCCAGAATAACTCGGTTCTTTTGTGCGCCTCTGGGTGGAGTACATGCCTGTCCAGGGTTGTTCATCAGCGAATGATAACGCTCTCGATAGGTGTACTGTACGTTGTAGAGACCTTAAATTATATTAGTGTATTTCATATATATTTAGATGTTTATATGTAAAAACTATTAATTTTACTGTACTATTTATTAATAATGGTATGCTCTATAGTTCTGTACACATCATCATACCATTTACTGTATTATTATTTATTATTCATTACTGTTGGGCCTATTATTATTGATAGGTCAATTACTATTAGGCTTTAATTGTTAATTTTATCTCTATATTTAAACATTTATAATGCTGAAGGCCACATGAACTTTTATAATCTAGTATACAGCAAATGTTAAGGTACGACAGAGATCTCAACATCCTACCGGCACTGTATAGACGGCCGACCGACATTGGTTTTTCAATGATTTTGTAAACTTTTTGTATAACGTTATAAAATCAAGGATTTTAAATGTAAAGGCCCTTCAAACACGAATGCCATTCAGTGTAACAAAACTGTACATGTTCCCATGGTTGCGTTAATAGTTAATTAACTGCCTTGCACTATGGATGGTGCCAAACATGTGTATTCATGCAAAGCAAGTGTAAACGTCTGTAGAATGATGAAATACCCAGAGCCAGTCAGCCACTTTCAGCATTTGACATTCTTCGATAATATTCATAAATTGGCGGCGTACAAAGAGTTGACCTGCTTCTCACAAGAGTATCGTGGAAACGTTTCTTATTTAATTTACTGTTACTAGGCAACCTGCAGTACTGGAATGGTTAATGATCAAATTTCCAGGACAATGAAGGACAATCGTAAAATGTTAGGCCTAGAAATACATTGCCGCATTTAAAAAAATATTGATGTGGTAAAACACATTCCTCCGAGGTTGATGTATTGATTTTGCATAAGACTTGATAACTGCATCAGCGGTTGCCAACAAAAGAGTTACAGCCATGGTTACAGCATACACGCAAAGATCGTACGCGACGGATACCGTACGCAGCACTATTTACACAATCTTTTGTTACTCTTTCACCAGTGACGTTATGGTAAAATCGTATATAATCGCCTATAACTTCATAAAAAAATAGCCAAAAAACAATTTTAAGGTTGATTGTATTATTAATGGCATATCAAAAATCCCTTCTAGAACAAAAAATCATTTTGCTAGTTCTCTTTTAAGTTACTTCAACCTTATTACAGACAATTTATTTCTGAGCAGTCTAAGGAGCAAGTGTGCTACTTCCGCATACACAAGGAAAATAAGAATATGCGGTTGGAGTAGCGCTGTGTACACACTTCAGAGCTCGCAATTGCGACCTTTATTTTGACCTCAAAGTTTTTCAAAAGATAAATACCTACAAATGAGAGCCAAAATAACTTTTCCTGTGATGTGTAAGCCTTTGTAGACATGCTGTTTTCATAATTATTTACAATTTCAAAAAATTGTGTGTAAAATAAATGTTAATAGACAGCGCTTCCGAAAAATATGCATAGCTACTTCTAAGCATTGAACTATCCTGGATAAGCATTGTGTGGAAGTAATACGCATGTAAAATTTTCTCGTAACTTTACTTCAGACGGAAGGTCATCTGAACATAACTTATAATACTTACACTGTATACTGATGAGATTTTAACAACATTTAAACCAATCAATGCTTACCTGTAGATGGAGCTGCTTGTGTAGCAAAATTCTTGTTACATTTGCAAGTACCCCTCAGCCCTAGAGGGTCACTTTTTGACTCAATAATGAGATGTGTTGTTATGTTTCTCATAAAGTCATCCATGTTTTCTTCGCAAATCCTGCCTCTATGCTGCAAGTCTACAAATAATTCCCATCTGTCAGTCTCTTGTTCACAACAGTAAAGTTTTGAGATCTTCTTGACATCACTGTCAGTGAGGCTTTCTAAAACCTTGATCAGATTTAGTCTTTTAAGTGCAAACTTTGATATGATGACTGTCCTGATATCAAAAGGTGTTTTCTCTGTCAATTTTCGAATTTCTGGTTCCAAGCCAAATGGCTTAGTTACATTAATAGTATCATATAGTACTGTAGGATCTGCAGGACTCAGATGTCCAGAACTGCATACCAATTCAAACAATTCAATCACCTTGGTGGCAGCATATAGCTTATTAGGCTCAGTTACAACGTCTCTGTACAAAACTTTCAGCATATTGATGTATCCATGGCGATCATACCATCCTGACATGGATGATAATATTTCTCTGAAATCATCATCAGAGATTCCTAAAAAAATATACAATTTCTTTTTATAAATGACTAGATCTCTGCAAGGGAAGAGTTATTGTACTGTTCAGGCAATGGCCAATTAAATTACTTTTTTATACCTCCTTGAAAATACTGTGCTGTAAATATCAACTTTTAGCAAAAGGCAATTTATGGTCCTCTTTTTTGATACCATTTGTCATCAGAGTTTATGGTAGATATTTTTTTATTATTATTTATTTAGGCACACAATACATGTGCCAAGGATTGTTAATAGTGAATATATCACTGTCCTACTTGTAGGTGGCAATCCCTACACAAGACAAACACACACGCACAATGCTTTACACAAACTAAATCTCAATATGAGATTTAGGGAGTGGAGTTGTTTTGGTCGTGAGAAAAAATCCTGCAACACTGACAGGAATCAAACCCAGGACCCTAGGATCGGAAGGCAAGCATCTTAACCACCAAGCTATTAAACTCCACTCAATAATCATTTTATAAAAAAGGTATTCTTAGAGCTACCAACTAAAGATTTCACATCATTTATGGGTTACTCAATTATGACAAAAAAATTGTCAATGTCAGTTCACGCCCTACTGTAGGTTGAGTCTGCAAAAAGAAATTGTAAATTCCCCGAATTGATTGTGCATGCAAAAGGTCTAATCAGCTGGGCCTAATAGATGGTTTTTGAGATTCAAGTGTATTGTGTAAATGTAGTGTAACAGTGTAATAAGTGCAGTGTAAGTACATTATTTTAGCTAAGCAAATTTTCAGTGGGAAGAGGAACAAACTTAAAGCCTCATTCTCGGCAAAATTTCAGTTGTTAAGAAAAATCTGATTTTTATATTTGTTAAAATTTAAAAGATTTAATATAATACGAAATTGCTAGTTTAACTGAATTTAGAAAACATGAGAACAAAGTAAAGTAAGACTGAAATTTTATTTTTTTTAAACGTGGATGAATATTTTACTGTCTGATTTTGCGATAGGTCTGCGAAGAAATATAGTAGGCGCTGGAAAATTAGCCTATCCAACACTGCTAGGCCAGGCCTACCTTACCTCAATTTAGGTTCTGTTATCAGACATGAAAATGGCCAACATGATATTTTTGTTTCTAGTACTGACCCTTGTAAAATATAATTTTTCATTGGAATTATTTCAAAATTTGTTAAAAAAAATGATTCTGAATCTGAAAATTAAACAAACATATCTCAGGCCTTCGATCGACAGTGTACAAGATGCGAAGTACAAAAACTAATCTCATTAGAGAGGGCGCACTTCATTGACTGTATAAAGTATAACACAAAAGTGGGAGCATTCTAGCAGATGCGATCTACAACCTCTCCTCTGAATTTGCCTAATAACGAAAAAGTCGTCAAGAAAATTGTAATCTCCTATGAGAAATAGTCTCTATTTCTCATTTTTTCATCCTTTTGCGTAAAACTAAACTTTATGTCAATATTTTTCCATGATTTATGATAATTAAAGTAATGCATATTTGTGGCATAGTTCACAAAATCTCATAATGGGGCACACAGCCTACAATATATATACTCAAGAGTAATATACACAAATTTTTTTTTTTTTTTAATAATATATTTGAAAAAGAACAAAAATGTTAAACTAAACGGTAAATTATCTCTCTCACGTTTCCTATCCTTGTGGTGTATTAAAGCCAAGGCGATTGATCGTCAGGGACAGTCTTAAGCCGTCGTGGAAAACATTAAACATGTTTAATATTCTATGACGTGCCTGCACCCGACGCAAGCCATCGTGTCTGCGTTTAACTCACACAGAAAACAAATTGCATCGGGCTGCGTTGTACGACACTGTCTGAGTTGGCCTTAAGTCAGCTACATTTTAGATATACAACACTACTGTACAGTTGGGCAAACACGTATCCGTAATAGTTTAAACATTAAATGTACCTTGACTTGGCTGCTGGCGATGTGGGCTTGATGGTAAACTATCATCATTACCTGTAGAAATAAGATCATCAATAAACAATTTATTCAAACTTCTGCAGATGAGGTACAGTAATGTATAGGTTTATATTATTGTTTTAATGATGACGGCCTCAATATATAGTAATAGTAAATTTATTAACCCACAAACACACAAGGATGGATTTTTCAGTATGATTTTTACAACAAAATATAAAATGTATACCTTCGTTGGCAGGCCCGTATTTAGGAATTTCAATGGGGGGGGGGTTTGGCTTGGGACTATGCGGAACTCCTTATCAAAACCCACATACTTCTTCTTCTCTCCCCTAAATGGGGACTTTATTCAGTGTGATAGGCCTCAGGCCCTTTACAGTATAAATAAATATACATTTTTAGTGCTTTAAATAAGGAGAGACTTTTTTATACCTTGTTTAGCGAACCCTCCGATTCCGAAATTGTGGATTTCAAAATAAAAAATAACATTTTATTATAAGTGTGTTAGCGTAATAGCCGCCATGAAAAATTGAAAAAAAGAAATAAAAATGAAAATTTTCACGGAACTCCATCTCCCGCGGGGGATTCGGACGAACCCCCCCCTAAATACGGGCCTGGTTTGGTTGCTTGATTGAATCTGTTTTCTTAAGTTTTTTGGTTGGTCTTTTCTGTTCGATTTTTCTATTTTTGGGGTTCATTTCTTGTTGACCATCTCTTTCTGATAGAAAGTTGTATTGCAATGAATATTCAGTACATTTTCTAATCATGTACGATTTGACGGAGACAAACTTTCGTTTCTCAATGTTGCTCTAAATAAGAATATGGAGGAGTACATCATTAATTATAAAACTGCAAATAACAGGAGCGGTTTGCACACGGGATTGGTTTGGTTTCCCAACCTTGAAATTTTAATCTTTGAGCAAGCCACTTTTAGACCAGGAGCCCAGGGGTGTCAGCATAGGTGGAAAGTTAACCAATTTTTGTGTATATAGTAATGTTCTATGTGCCTGTCTATGTAGGAGAATGGGCATCTGCCGGTCCAATTGTGGTGGGTGTGGTCAGGAGGGGCATAAAAAGGGCCCCAAAAATTGAGCTAGATCTTCTTGTGAATTAACCCAATGAAACCTATCAAGATATATTCGGCATAGTTCAAGATAACATGAATGGTCAATGCCAGACATTTCCAATGGTGGGGGGTTGGGTGCCAGACGCAAAAAACCGGTACCCCAAAATTAAGCTAGATCAGCTTGTGAGTTAACCCGATGAAACCTACTGGAAAATGTTGGGCATAGTACCAGGTATCAGGAATGGTCACCGCCAGACATTTTTAATGGTGGGGTATACCTACCAGACACCCACTTGTACCTAGCCCCCCCCCCCCCAAAAAAAATTAAAAAATAACATAGATCAGCTTGTGAGTCACGACACGATCAAACGCATTGCAAAAAATGGGCATAGCACCAGGTATCACGAATGGCCACTGCCAGACATTTTTGGTAGTGTGGTGTATTTTATCAAGATTATCTAGTGAGTTCACCTGATGAATGTTACATGGCATGACATGTTTTATGTAACATGAGTGACCACAATGACAGTCAAACATTTGTGGCAGAGTTACCCGATGAAACATATTGGAAAATGTTTAGCATAGTACCAGTGGCCACTGCCGAACATCGTGGTGGGGTGTACCCACTAGACATCCCCTTATTCCCCACCACCAGAATTGACCTAGATTAGGTAATGAGTTAACCTGATGAAAATTACTGTAAAATTTCATCGTAGTCCAAGTTATTATGAATCACCACCGCCAGACAATTCTGATGGTGGGGTGTGTCTGCCAGACACCCCCCTATTCCCCGCCCCAAAAATTAACCTAGATTATCTAGTATTATTCTTTCTAACATCCTCCAGCGCCGGTGACAAGCCAGTTTTGTTTGCTTTAATAGGCGCTTTAAAAATGTGTATTATTATTATTATTATTATTATTATTAAAACCCCTAGTCTTTTATGGCCGGACACTGATCACCTGTAAAAAGTAATATTAAAACTGAGAATCAAATGACATAAAAGCACTGCATGAACGTTTTTGGAAGCACACTTGAAACATCAAAGCTAGGTTTCGGCCATCTGTGTTAAATCGAAAATTCACTTTGGCCCTCCGATTTTTATGCCCACCCCTACTCTAAATAAGAGTTTATTATACTGCAAGGATAGAAGTGTGGGTTAATAAGGGTGGGTGGAGAGCCATGAAATTAGCTTCAGACTGGATGGAAAACTTCCAAGTACTAATACTATATAGTAATACTATATAATCTTTTATTATTTTTAGTAGTCAATATTACAACAGTTTAACAATGAGATTCTATACAGGATTTAAAATTTATAAATGCCCAATACTCAGTAGAGTAGATTTCCCTACAATTAAAAATCATAATGGTACTGGGTTTAGGAGTTCGTGCTTCAACAAACAGGTTATTCCATCTGTAGAAGTCTTTTGATGAAGAGAGTGTACCTTTTTAGGAAGGGTTGCCTAAGTTAAAACTCACTCGGGCTTAAATGAAATTAATTATAAGCTTGAATTGTTAATCTTATTGTGTAAGGAATACTACAGTAACTTCACGTTTAATTTTAATTACAAGTTAAATTAAATAAAATTCAAATTAAATGTCGTAAGTATATAGTTTGCCTATTTGCCTAATTTGGTTTAGAAAAATCTAAAAACTTTTTTATTACAGGAATGTTAAACTTGCCTTATTTGCTCACTTGGTAGTGCTTATAAATTTTGAATTGGTGATATATAAGTATTTGTTATGTACCAATTATTAGTGTTATCTAATTAGTATCATATTACTAATTTGATTAAAGACCAAAGTTTGCGATGATTTACCATCCACACTCATGCACAGTTGAATATATCGTAGCACGATTCTTTTAGGTGCCTTAACATTCTTGAAGACATTTTTTGAGTTCATTGAACATATGACTACACTTTCAGCGTACGAAAAATAAAGCAATTACCTTACTCAAAATTCAAAGTTACACTCTATATTGGAAAAATGACTATACTGTATGTATTGGGGTATTAGAGGGTTACAGTAACTCATGAGATAATCTAGCTCTATTGAGGGGGAATGGTATTAAAGGGGGAGGGGTATTAAGGCGATGTGTGGCGGGTACATCCTACAATTAAAAATGTCTAGTAGCGGCCATTTATGATACCTGGGACAATGCTGAACATTTTACAGTAACTTTCATCAGGTTAACTCACTAGATAATCTAGATCAATTTTTGGGGGACAAGGAGTATCATATTTTCTTTTTCAAATAATTTCTTTTTTTGTAAGATACCAGCAAGATAGTCAAAATTGGATTGTACAGTACTTGTTAAATATGTGAAAGATGTAGACATGCCTTATTTTTTGTCATGTATTGACTTACAGTATTTTAGTACCGGTAACAGTCACTTTATATATATTATTCCGTTATATTTAGTGAATATACACCTATGTATCAGCCCTACTCACTGAAGTGGTACGTTCTATTTACCTAAATACTGAATATTACTCTGCTCCTTCCACTTTACTGTACTAACAAACAATTCTCATGTGTGTTGCTTTTGTAGTGACTAGTGTAAAATTTTTCTTTACGATATTTTAATGGATATTATGAACTAAAAAAATGTCTTCAAGAATGTTAAGAGACCTAAAAGAATGGTGCTACGATATATTCAACTGTGCGCGATTATGGATGGTAAATCATCACACACTTGGTCTTTAATCACTACTAATAATTGTACATAACAAAATTTTATATATTTAATATACATAGCACCAATTAAAATTTTATTTAAAGCACTACCAAGTGAGCAAATAAGGCAAGTTTAACATTCCTATAATAAAAAAGTTTTTAGATTTTTCTAAAGCAAATTAGGCAAACTATATACTTACGACATTTAATTTGAATTTTGTATAATTCAACTTGTAATTAAAATTAAACGTGAAGTTACTGTAGTATTCCTTATAAGACTAACAATTCAAGCTTATAATTAATTCCATATAGTCCGAGTGAGTTTTAACCTAGGCAACTCTTAAGGAACACTTTCTTTATCAAAAGGCTTCTACGAATGGAACAACCTGTTTGAAGCACAAACTCCTGTAAACTAAACCCAGTTCCATATTTTTATTTGTACTGGAAATCTACTCCTACTGAATATTGGGCATTCATAAATTTTCAATCCTGTATAGAATCTCATTGTTAAACTGTTGTAATATTGACTACTAAAAATAATAAAAGATTATATAGTATTGTATGATAGGCCTACATTTTGCAAATTCAGGGATGTAGTTATGGGGGAGGGAGAGGAGGTGGAGTCACCCAGCCTTGAAGTTTTCCATCCAGTCTAAACCTAAATTCATGGCTCTCCACCCACCCTTATTAACCCCACACTTCTATCCTTAAAATCAACTCATATTATTTAGAGTAGGGGTGGGCATAAAAATCAATTGGAGGGCCAAAGTGAATTTTCGATTTAACACAGAGGGACGAAAACTACCTTTGATGTTTCAAGTGTGCTTCCAAAAAACCTTCATGCAGTGCTCAGTTTTAATACTACTTTTTACAGGTGATCAGTGTCGGGCCGTAAACGACTAGAGGTTTTCTATTACTTTGCCCGCCACAATGCCGAACATTTCACAGTTACTTTCATCACGTTAACTTAACACGTTTCCAGTAGGTTTTATTGGCTTAACTCACAAGCTGATCTAGGTCAATTTTCGGGGGCAGGCTGTAAGGCAGGGATGTAATTGTGCAGGGCGGAGCCGGGCGGGGCCGCCCTGTCTAAAAGACTACCGCCCAGCCT